GTCCACGCGCGCGTGCTCGTGCTGTGTTCTGCCGAAACATCAGACCGATGGCCACTTTTCCAGAGCGTCCAGATCAACGATCCTGTGCTGATGAACTTGGCGGGGCGAGTGTTTGGCGTCCTCTCCCCGACATCAGCTTTGTGCCCAGGACAGCTGCGTGGGCTGACCCAGAGTTTCATCAACCTCGGGAGCCTCGTCGGCATCGCCGACTCGCCGTGCGCCTTTGGGTCGCTGCGTGGGGGCTGGGCCATCCATCGCGTCCGCTCGTTTCAGATCCTGGGGCTTCTGCATTAGCGTGGGTTCTGGGAGATGCAAGATCAATGCGTCGCTATCTCCAGATGGGCGCGGCCGCCCTATCCTTCGCCCGCGTGGCGTCCGACAGCCGTCAGCGTGTCCGTGTGGGGCAGTGGGCGACTGTGCCGCCGGCGCAACATAGGAAGACAACTCATATCAAACACGTGACAGGACAGTACGGTTGGAATAGGTTGAGAGCTCTCTGCCCTTGAGGCTCATTGAGGCTGCGCGGCAGAGGCAGCGCCGCTGCGCCCTGGCGCCCCCGACCGCCCTTTCGCCAGCTTTTCCTTGCAAGCTTCGCGCGCGGGGTGCTCTGGGAAACGAGCGGTGGGGGTCACGTGGGCACAGCGATGATGATAGTAGAAGGAAGTGAAATGCAGCTTTCTCGCCCTCCCCCCCCGCCCTCGCGAACAGCTTTAGAATGGGTTGATGGCTTTTTGTCGTCGGGGCCCTGTGCGGCCGCGTGGCAGAGACAACGCCGCTGCGCCCCGGAGCCCTGGCCGCCCCTTGGCCGGCTTTTCTTCGCAAGCCGGAGAATGAATTTCGGAGGTCATGGCGATGATGCGTTGGGGGGGAGGGGCGACGCTTGTGATTATGATGGTGGCGATGAGGACATGCAGGTAGCAGAGTTAAATCGGGCACGTCCCTCTACGGGAGGGATATTCAGAGCTAGCCAACGAAAAATGCGGGGGTTATTGTTCGATTCTGGTTGATCGTTTTGAGGTATTCGGCGTATTTCTAAAGTTGTTCGTCCACACTCCACCTGTAGGAGGGCATGCCCGAGCAGTGGGCAGAGGCGCAGGCCGGGTGGGGGGGGGCCGCGGGGCGCGCGTTCTTAGACACGAGGGCCCGACCCCACGGGATGCTTGGACAATGGCGGGTAGCAGCGTCAAGCAATGCGAAGGAGCACCAAGCAACAGCAAGCAATGCCAAGACATGCTGAACGACGCCAAGCAATGCCAAGCGCTGCTATGAAATGGCACGCATTGCCAAACATTGCAAGGCAACGTCGAGCAATGCCAAGCAATGTGAAGCAATGTCGACGGACAGGTTCGGTGAGGCTTGAGCCTCGCGGGCCCCCTGAACATGACGAGCCTCTCGAGGTCCCGAGGGGTTGGGTCTGGGGTGACTTCCTGACTCGTGGATAGGGTCCGAACAGCTTGCCATTCTGCTGTGCTATAGGTTCTCGGGCCAAGGCCATGCCAATGTGCAAGAGGCCGTCGCCCTTTGATCGCCTGTCGAGCGCGCGTTCATGGACCCGATCATGCATGGCAAACGCACCCCAGGACGATGCAGTCCGAGGGCGATCGCCCAGCAGGGTCCTTAACAGGATCTTCGCTCTGACTCTAGGGTTTTGCTGTTTGCAGGGTGCTCCCTTGGGTGCGGGCCGCCCGGATTCTGCAGATGATCCAGCGAGAGGTGCCGCGATGCTTGGGGTCTGACGGCTTCCTCCCGAGGTGGTGGAGTCGATTGCCGCCGTTGAGAAGCTTTGGAGCTGGGCCGTGAGCGTGCGCCGCCCTGTCTTGGGCCGCCGACAACCTGTCTTCTACGGCGCCTTCAGCGACCCGAAGGCCCTCCCCAGCGCAGCCCTGGAGCGCCGCCGCCGGATTGTCATCGGCCGCGATGTGTTGCATGGCCCTGTCGAGGCCCTCGCGGGTCCCGACGTGCTCGTCCAGGGAATCGAGCTCGTCGTGAGAATCAGGCTGATGTCGGCTGCCCTGGGCCCCCCCCCTGCAGGACCTCCTCGCGGTTCATGAACTTGTGCTCGTGGTCCTCTCCAACGCGCCAGCGGCCGCGGGGGCCGCGGCGGCGCCCCGGGGGGTCCTGGGCAACGGGTGCATGGGGGCCGGGCTGGATCTTTTGAAGGCTCTCGACCGCGTGTGCGCCCTGTGTGCGTGGGAGAAGCTTCAGTCATCTCTTCTGTGGGCGCTTCTTGAGCTCCATGAGGCCCATCGGCGCGAGGCGCGCTCTTCGCGCGCGTCGTCGGCCGGTGCGTGTGGGGACAGCGCTGGCGCGAGACCGCCACCTGGAGGGGGCGGTGGCCGTTCCCGCCCCCGATGGCAAGCCGATGCGACCGCGGCCGCCGTCGCCTCGTCCTTGAGGGCGGCGCTAATTTCGAGGGCGGCGTCTGGCGGCGTCTGACGGAGGTCGCGGCAGAGTGTTCCAGCGAGTGGTGCGATGTCGTGTCCGAGCAGGTCGACGTGTGCTGCCGCTCGCCGCGCTGCTGATACTCTTGGGGGTCTTCTGCAGCTGGCTCGTATTTCCGGGGGAAGGCCCGCCCGCGCGCCCCGGCGCAGTCTCGCGGCGTGCAGCGTCGCTGGCTGGGCGGGGCCTCGGATTGACAGTCGTGCGAGCCTGCCCGTCGGTATATCATCATGCTCGACAAGTGGAGCATGTGGCTTTATAACCGAGGGCCGCCCCGCTCCGACGACGCCGCGCGCGGGGCATCGAGCTGCTCGACGCCGCCCTCGTTGCCTACATTCAGTGCCTCTACGATGCAGAGGCGTCGTATTCTTGGATACGATACCTTCGTTTGCGTCCAGTTCCGCTGGCCCCGCAGCTGGCCTGCCTTGGCCGTGGTGGCTCGCTGGCGCACTTCGGGGCCGGTCGAGATGCGCGCGCCCATGCTTGTTGAAGTGCTCCTGGTACTGGCCGTGGCTTCCCATGCGCCAGGGCGGGACGGGGCGGCAGCGTGCCTGCCGCTTGCCTTCCCCTCGCTGTTGCGGCCCAGTGCGGTCGCGAATGCCTTCGCGCGGGATCTCCTTTTGCTTGGGGGCCGGGGGGGCGATGTCAACGCAGGCGTGCTCGTGCTGTTGCCTGCCAATACATCGGACTGGGGGTCAATTTTCCAGAGCGTTCAGATCGACGATCCTGTGCTGCTGAACTCGGCGAGGCGTGTGTTTGGCCCCCTCTCCCCGACGTCGGCGTTGTGCCCGGGCTGGCTGCGTGGGCTGACCCAGAGGTTCATCAGCCTCAGGAGTCTCGTCGGCTTCAACCACTCGCCGTGCGCCCTTGGGTCGCTGCGTGGAGGCTGGGCCATCCATCGCGTCCGCTCGTTTCAGACCCTGGGACTCCTGCATTTGCGTGGGCGCTGGGAGATGCAAAATCACTGCGTCGCTATCTCCAGATGGGCGCGGCAGCCCTATCCGTCGCCCACGTGACATCCGACAGCCGTCAGCGTGTCCGTGTGGGGCAGTGGGCGACTATGACACCAACGCACCATAAGAAGAATACCGCTGCCAAACGGTGCTGGTTACTGGCCAGCAGCGCCGCGTAATGCCAAACATTGAAAACTATTGCCAAGCAGTGGTAGGCCACGCCACGCAGTAAAAGTACCGATTCCAGACGCTGCCAGGCAATGCCACGAACGGCGACGCCATGCCAAGTAATGCCAAGCTGCGTTGCCAAACCCATGCCAAGCAATGCCCAGCAATACCAAACAATACCAAGCAGTACCAAACGACGACGCCAACAAATGCCAAACCAAGCCAAGACATGCAAAGCAATGCGTACCAATGCGAATCGCTGCCAAGCAATGCAAAACAAGGCCATTCAATGCAAACGAGCGCAACGCAATACCAAACAAAGGCTCCAAGCAATGTCGAGCAACCCCAATCAACGGCAATCAATGCCAAGTAATGCAACGCAGTGCCAAACAATGCCAACAAATGCCACGTCATGCCAAGCAACGCCAACCAATGCCAAGCAATGCTAAGCAATGCCAAGCAGTGCAACGCAACGCCGAACAGTTCCGAGCAATGTCGAGCAATGCCACGCAAGACCGAGCAATACCAAACCATGCCAAACAATGCGGCGCAATGCCAAGACATGCCAAGTACCGATTCTATGCTGAGCGATGCCAGACAATGCCAAGCGAAGCCCAGCAACAGTTCCAAGAAAGGCACAACATCGCGAAACAACACGAATCCAAACCATGCAATGTCAAGCAATGTCAATCAACATTGAGGAATAGCAGATAGCAGTAAGCAGTGCCAAGCAATGCCAACCAATGTTGTGCATGGCGTTGCTGTGTTCTGCTCAGTGCTGGGCCTTTTTCCGGATGACAGAATATCTCCAATGGTCGCGTTATTTTTTACTTACAGTACTGCCGTGTCCAACACTATCACCTCCTCGACCACATCGCTTGCTTCTTCCTTCCCCCTTTTCCTCTCTACCTTCCTAGAATGCTAATTCGGCCCGGGCGCCGCTCACCTTCGAACCGCGCCATCGGAGTTCTTAAACCGATTAAGCCCGTTCTATTCTGCAGACGCCTTGCGTCTGGGAGGCGCGTGCTCGCGTCGGTCATGACCGCACGGCGCTCGATCGGAAGGCATGACAACGCCGTGGCGAGGGCCTTGCGGAGGGGCGGCAGCCGGTCGCCCTCTTGCCCTCAGCAGCCGTGTTCGCGTCGGGCACGCGGCCCGTTGTCCGGACCGCTCGCCGCCTGATCGGACAGTGAGGACGCCGAGGTGCCGACGGCCGCGCGGTGGAGTCGGCAGCTGGTCGCCCTCAGCGGCCCGTTGTCCTTCCGCCGCTTCCGCCTTTGCCCCAGACGGCCACCATCCGCGATCCGCTCCTTTGTACCACGCTGCGGCCCAGCATGGCTGCGGTGATTTTCGATGCTCGGAGGCGGAGGCATCATGTTGGTGATTCGCGCGCGGGAAATAGTGGTCCCTCCTCCTTTTTCTCCCCCAATCCTCCCTGGCAGTCGCTTCGGCCCAATACCGCCCAAGCCCCCGCTTCCACGGCGCAGGGCGATGACGGTGCTCACCTCGGCACCTGTCCTGGCACTGATATTCTTAGCGCCAGGGGTTGGCGCGGCCGGCCCGGGCGCGGCCTTCGACCTGGGCGTGGTTGGGGCTGGCGCCGGAGGCGCTTACGCCGCCTGGAGGGCTGCGGTGGCCGGCAAGTCGGTGTGCGTCTTCGAGCGCGCAGGGAGGCCTGGTGGTCGGATCCACTCTCTGCGGGGTCAGGGGCCCAGGAAGGACCTCGTGGTTGAGGCCGGGGGCTACCGCTTCGCTCCAAAGCCAGTGCACATGCACACCGGGAAGTTCGACTGGACAATCAGCACGCCCATCACGGCGGCGGTGATCAACGAGCTGAATCTCACGTCGGTGTCCTACAACCCAAACGCGTCGGACTGGGACCACGGCATGCACAAGATCGTGGGCGCGGACGGGCAGGACGTGGGGTACCTGACCTTCATTGAGAGGCTGCTGGACTTGGCCGTCGCCCACGGGGCCAAGGTGTTGTACAACACAACGGTCGTGGGCCTGGGCATGAAGGGGGAAGGGGTGCTGCTGCGCCATAGCGGCGGCGAGGCCCTCGCGAAGTCGGTGGTGCTGAACCTTCCCCAGCGGCCCGCGATCGAGCTGCTCCGCGGCAGCGACCCGTCCATCGCATCTCATTTCCCGAGGCCGCTCTACGATCCAGTGTCGTACCCGATCATGAAGCTGTACGTCCATTACGACGACGCTTGGTGGCGCAACGACCTTGGCCTTGTCGCGGGGCCATTCATGAACACGGAGCCGCCGCAGACCGGAAGGGGGCACACGTTCGGCGTGCCCACGGTCAGCCCAGTGCCGCTCCAGGGCCAGTACCACGACGGCCACGTACGCTGCGAGTCGCCGCCCTCCCGAGGTTGCCGAGGATACCTGCAGGCCTTCTACGGCGGCGACAACGCGATGTACACCGGCGGCGTCGACGGGGCTATGAAGTTCTTCGCGCCTTTCGCGGACACCATTGCGGCGGACTCCGTCACCCACATCGGCCGCGACCAGCCGCACCATGTCGAGCTGCTCGAGGCCCTCCACAGCTCGCTGCTCGGGCTCCACCGGCCGGCCCTCGACGCGGTGAACGCCACCGGAAGGGTCGCCAACCTGAGGCCCACCAGCGCCGTCCTGTCCATGTGGACGGAGGGCGTCGCGGGCATCAACGCCGGCTGCCACGCGCCCAAGCGGCTGCCGGGGGGCGAGTCGCCGCCGCCAGACCAGCTGCCCAAGGCCGCGCTCGAGCCGATGCCCGGGCTCCCAGTCCTCGTGGCGAACGAGGCCTTCGGCCCCGTCGGCTGCTTCGCGGAGGGCTCGCTGTCGATGGCGGAGGCGGCCGTGAAGAGGCTGTACCCGGGCCTGCGCGCCGTGGCCGGGCTCCCCGAGGACCTGCAGGCAGACGGAGGAAGGGCAGCAGAAGGAGGGCGCAGGAGGGGGAAGGGGGGCAGGAGGCAGACGAGGAGGAGGAGGAGGAGGAGGAGGAGGAGGAGGAGGAGGAGGAGGAGGAGGAGGAGGAGGAGGAGGAGGAGGAGGAGGAGGAGGAGGAGGGGGAGGGAACTACCCGCATGTTTCCAAACGATCCAACCCGGCTTCCGGAAAATCCCACTCGGTTTTCCTGGACAGTCCCCTGGAAGATCGCCCCTACCCATATTTCGGGAAGATCCCCCCATACCGTTTGCGGAGCGTCCCCATCCTATTTGCGGGGAAGGGGAGCAGGAGGCAGACGATGATGAGGGGAGGGGGAGGAGGGAACGGAGTTGGAGACTGATCAGGGTGATGATGATGCGGATGCCGACGTCGATGCGACGATGATGCTGTTGATACTGATGCTGATGCTGATGATGCTGCTGTTGATGATGATGCTGGTGCTGCTGCTGCTGCTGATGCTGCTGATGATGATGATGATGATGATGATGATCGTGGGAATGATGATTATTAGTATAGATGACCATGCCTATACCGACTTGACGATGATGATCATGCTACTGATGACGACGAAGCTGCTGCTGCTTCTGCTGCTGCTGATGATGATGATGATGATGATGATGACGATGATGAGGCTGCTGCTGCTGCTGCTGCTGCTGCTGCTGATGATGATGATGATGATGATGATGATGATGATGATGATGATGATGATGATGATGATGATGATGAACATCGGGCCATGGGCCGCGCGCCAGCACTGCTCCAGCACTGCCTCCGCTGCGCCGCTGCAGACAGGGGAGACTACTCACAACCCCGGCCCAGGACAGCTTCTCCATCCCGCAGGGATGGCTCAGAGCAGCCCTGGCCGAGAATATGCCACCCGTCGTCGCCGTGAGCTCCTGGCAGCGCCCGCCAATCTCGAGCGCGCTCACTCGTGACGAGCCGTGGCGAGCCGCTTTTGCGGGTCGCGCGCATGCTGCACACCCGCCTTGGCGCGCACCTGCCGCTCCACGCCCCGCGACCCGCCCGAGGACCGGCGGGCGACCCGCCCCGAGCACCGGCGGGCGATCGGCCCCAGAGAGTTGGCCTGCTTTTCCCTTTCCCTCCTCCGCTCTGCACTTGCCCCTCCACCCCTCTCTGTTTTTTTTTTGTCTCCCCGCGGCCAGCAGCATGGAGCGGCCCGCTTTCACGCGGCCACCCGACCCAGGGCGGCGTGCTCGAGGGGCGCCGCTCCTGGCTCGCGCGGTCGGGGAATGCTCGCCGCCCGGGTCGGGGCCTTCCTGGCCCCGGCCGTGCACGACAAGACATTGTTACAGGCAATGCTTTACACTCAATATATCGGGATAGTCTGCGCCATGCTCTCTCTCTCGCTCGTCCTTCCTCCTCCCTTCGGCTCGCGGCTTTGCTGCGCTTTGGGGCCTGCGGTGGGGCATTCCCGCGGACTGCACCCCTGCCTTTTTTGGCATGTGCGGGTGCCGTGGAAGTTACGCCGCGCAATCCGTCGAGCTGCTGGCTGTGACTGGCTCGCCGCGCGTTTTCTTGCATGATGTCTTTTCTTCATTCCTTTCCATCCGACGGCGACAACCACAACACCAGCCTCCCGACAAACCACGACCACGACTCCACGACGCAGCAACGATGATAGGAACTTCATGGTCATACGCAAAAACGCCCGGAGCCTCACTACCGACACAGCGATCGACCTTCTCTTGCAGGAGCTTTCCGACGTACGATGGGACGTTGTGGCACTCAATGAAACATGGCGGACAGAAAAACGAGAGTTCTGGGTCACGGAGCCTGGCGCGCACATATTCGCAGCTTCTGGGCATGACAGTCCGACACGAGGTGTTGCATTCCTTGTTCATAAACGACATGCGCGACACATACGAAGCTTCAAAGCAGTTAACGAGCGGGTCGCCTACATCGACGTCGACTTCCCACATCGTCTGCTCCGAATCGTCACGGCTTACTTCCCACATGGAGGATACAGTGACCAACACGTGCAATGTATGTACGACGTACTTGCAGAAATACACGCTGATGCCCACCAACAGCACCGGACGACCATCGTCACAGGAGACTTCAACGCACGAGTTGGTAAACGGAGCGACGACGACGATTCCAGCGCTAGCAGGGCAGAGAAGCGTATCATTGGCAACCACGGGCAGAGCGGGTACAACCAGCGCGGCACCTGGCTACGATCGTGGGCGTGCGTGCGCAAATTCACAATCACAAAGACGATGTTTTACAAGCATTTCGACAACGTGTTCACGTACACGAGCGCTGGCACCAACCACAAGCAAACGCAGATCGACTACATTCTGATGGATCAGCAGGCCCGGCATTTGGTCCTGGATTCGTTCGCCACGGCGTGCCCCGACCTCGGCTCCGACCACCAAGCCGTGCACCTCCGACTAGCACTGGACGACGCGACACCACGAGCACGACGACGAAAACGACGACAGACTCGCACGCACCGAGAGCCTCCCCGACCGAACGACCCCGACTTCCAGCACCATCTGAAAAGACACCTCACTACCATCATCCCGCCAAGTGGTCCCCGAGACACCGTTGCACACACCGAACAAGCACTAGTAGCAGCCCAGAGAGACTACCAGCAACAACAAGACCAACAACAATATCTTCAACAAAACGCAGCTAGCAACGACGACGTGGAAAAGCAACACCTGCACGCACTTTTTACGCAACGCAGAAACACACCGTACGCCGACACAACCACCCGAACAGCTCTCAGCAAGCGTATTCTACGTGCGCGCCGGGACATCAAAAGGGCTCAACGGCAGGCAATCCTGAACGACATCTTCGTTAGTTTCCGCGGCCTGAACAAGATCTCTGGGATCAAGTCCAGCAAGAAGAAGGAGCTCATACAGGCCATGACAACAGCAAAGGGCTCCGACGAGACGGACCGACAGGGAATTGCAGACGTCTTCGCGGACTTCTATGAGAAGCTGTACCGACGCCCTGAAAGCACTACTTTGCCTACGCCCAACAGCTCCCCAGACGCCCAAGAAGAATCAGCAAAGCGACCTCGACAGAGTATTCCACCATTCACCTACGAGGAGTTGCACCAAGCAGTGAAGCATCTCAAAAACGGTAAGTGCAAAGACACGGCTGGGCTCACCGCAGAGCTGCTGAAAGCAGGGGGGACACGATCGTGACGCATTTGTTGGTGCTCTTCAACGACATTGTAGAACTTGAGCAGACACCGCCGGAACAGTGGAGACACACCACCATCAGCGTAGTCCATAAGTCCGGAGACCCGCAATTACCAAGCAACTACAGACCCATCGCCATCATACCACTACTATACAAACTCATGTCCCGACTGCTTTGCAACCGACTTGACACTCTTCGACGCACAGCAATCGCCTGACCAAGCTGGCTTCCGCAAGGGCCTAAGCACAGAGGATCACCTCTTCACTGCAACTATACTTTGCTGCTGTCGATTCCAAGAAGGCTTTCGACTGCGTCGACCATCTGTGTTTGTGGGAATCCATGAGGAAACAAGATGTGCCAGAACCCTGCATCACCTTGCTGCAGCATTTCTACAGCCATCACAGAGCCACGGTAAAGACCGACGTCAGAAGCAGACAGTTCAACATTGAGCGCGGCGTCAAGCAAGGGGGCCCGCTGAGCTCATATTTGTTCAACGCGCTACTCGAGCAAATCTTCCGGAACATCAAACCAACTTGGGCACGAAAGGGCTTCGGCATACAATTGGGAAGTGCCCAGACGACGCGCTTGACCAACTTGAGATTTGCTGACGACGTACTTCTCTTAGCACCCAATCTACGACAACTCAAGTGTATCTTGCGGGACCTCAAACACGAAGCTGCGAAGTGTGGACTTACACTGCACTCCGGCAAAACGAAAATCCTCACAAATGTGAGCAGGCGACAGGGGCGATGCATTACACACGTGGACATCGACGACGACAAGGTCGAAATCTTCAGCGCCGAGGAAAGCACCAAATACCTGGGTCGCAAGCTGACGCTGCGCGACTTCCACCACGCCGAGCTCACCAACAGACTTGCAATGGGATGGTGCAAATTCAACCAGTTCCGCAACGAGCTCACCAACAACCGGTACCCCCTTCACAGCAGACTCAGGCTCTTCAGCGGGACAGTGACGCCAACTGTTTCGTACGGCTGCGCAGCGTGGACTCTCACCCAAGACATGCTCCTAACACTCCGACGCACCCAACGACGCATGCTACGATTCATGGTCAATACTTCGAGACGCTGACAGAGACCGCCCCACACTAGCACCGCCGAAAGCACATTCAACCCTGACACTGACCAGCACGACGACAGCACAAACGACGACAGCAGTTCCGACGTCAAACGGCATCTAGACTTTGACGACGTCGACGACGAATCCGACATTGAACCCTGGGACCATTTCATCCGCAGGGCAATCCGCACCGCCTCAGACCTTGCGACGCGCGCACAGGTGGAGGAATGGGTGACGAGGAGATGGGCTGGGCGAGTTGCCACACAACCACAACCACACCACTCTTGGGCCCGACTGGCAGCGGCATGGGAGTCGATATCCATGACCTTCGGGCAGCACAACGCCGACACGGTAGACAGCGAAAACGGTGGAGTGACGATATCACAGAATTCTTACAGAGCGATTTTGTGGGGAGCGGACCCGGCACATGGTTACTGAGTGCTACACACGTCAAATCCTGGACGGACCTCGAGAGCGACTTCTTGAAGTTCATGCGCATATGACCGGGCTCCGGCCCGCCCGCGCCGCCCCTAGGGGGCCTGCCGGCCCGCCAGCCGGCGGACTCGCGCGTCTCGTCGTCTCGTCCCCTCTAAGTTCTGTCCGAGACCCAGGAGTGCCTCTGTCGCCCACTGGTGCTCACAGCGGCAGGCGTGGCCAGAGGCTGGTGCCGCGGAGGTGGTCCTCCCACGTGTGAGCCCCTGGGCGCCCAGGCACGGCCGAAGGAGCGGTCTGCGGCCTCAGGTCCGCAGGGTCAATCAGGCCAAGGGCTGGCAGCGATCGAGGTCTCCCAGGAAGCCCCAAAGAAGCCCAAACCGTCAAGTTCCATTTGGAAAACATCGTATTATATACAACTTTTCGGCCTGCGCGGCGTTGAAGAACATCTAAGACGCACCCGAAACCGCCCCACGACAGCCCAAAACCCTCCCTCGAATCCCCCAAGACGGTCCCAGAGGGCTCCAAGCCGGCCCCAGAGGCGCCCAAGACGGCAGCCGCAGACGTGCTCGCGCCGTGCGGTTGTCGACCTCTAGGGGCCCTCACCGGGCCCCGGGACCGTCAAAGAACGACTCGGGATGGAAGTTTGTCCTGGGAAGGGTCAGAACTTCGGGGGGGCCCGTGTTGAACGCATCGAGGCATCGCATGTCGGGGGCTGGCTGCAGCCGCCGCCGAGCCCGAGGCCACCGAGGCCAACGGGGCTGATATTGCTGACAGTATGGGCGGAGGCGGGAACACAGACAGTACAGTCCATTACTCAACAACACCACCAGCAGTATCCACGCCCAAAACGAGTCGCCGAACCGCGCTGGTCAGTCAACGAAGCCAGAAATATGAGCAGAAGGAGGCCGAGGAGAGGAAGGGGGGCGGGGGAAAGCGGACAAGACGTTGCGCAGACATCCCTGTTGGCCCAATCAGCCAACACCGAAGTTCACCCCCGGCGGCAGCAAGAAGGGAGAGCGGGTCACTGTATGCGCACGCGCCGCGAACGCGCCGCCGAGTCCACGCTGCCGAAGCGCTCGCCTCCAGAGCGCTGGCCAGTTGGCGACGGAGGCACTTCTGGTCATCGAAAATAGAAGGTCCAGCACTCAGCAGCACCACCAGCAGCATCCGCACCAGAGACGAGCCGCCGGAGGGCGCCGACGCATCGCGGGTCTGGGGCCCCCTGCGTCACCACTGTGCGGTCTCTCTCGGCGCCCAGCCGCGCGCGGCCGCGCACCGTGGGACGGGGGTCGTAGTTCTCCAGGAGAGCAGTCGCGCAGGTTGGCAGGCGGCCACGAGCGGCGAACATGCGCGTATCCGCGTCCTCGCGGTCTGGAGAGAAAGGGGTCCTGAAGGAATGGGGTCCTGAGGCGTTCGCCGTTCTCGCCCCCCCTCCCCCCAGGGCCTCTCTCAGGCCCCAGGGCCGTCAGACCACGGCCCTTGGTGAGAAGCCTATCCTGCGGAGCGCCCCGCGGCCCAGGAGCCGTGTCGCTCAGGGCGCACCTCCCTCGTGCATGGAGCCTCGAGGATCGAGTCTCCGGGCTCACGAGCGGCAGCCGTATCCACACCCGCGCCCTCGCGATCTGAATCTGGGGGCCTCTTTGGCCGTCTGGGAGGTCTCTGGGGCCGTCTTGGGACCCTCGTGGGTCGTTTTGGGGCCGTCTCGGAAGCCTCTGGGGGCCCCTGGTGCCGATCTTGGTGGTATCTTGGGCAGTCTTGGGCGTCGGGAAGCCGAAAAGGCGAGAACACCAGAATCTTTCAAGAACCTTACAGAAATTCATGCCATTTTGCCACTTGGGGCCCTCTAGGTGTGCTGTTGGAGGCCTCTGCCTTGGAAGCCGCTTGGGCTGTCAGGGGGTCATCTTTGGTATCTTGGACCGATTGTTCGGCGATTCGGGGCCCTCTTGGACCGTTGTGGTTTCTGGGCCCCAGGACTCCTTAGAGGAGGACAGATGGTATTCTGCTCCGAGAACCCCGCCCCACGGCCCCCCCGCCCGGGAGCCCGCCCCCCAGGATCCCCCCCAGGAACCTCCTGGGACCCTCCCCAGGACCCGCCCCCCCCAGGACCCCCTCCCCCTCCCCCCGCCCCCGGGGAGGCAAGGGATCAAAGGGAAGGGGCTGCCGTTCGACTCAACTACGCCGTTGCTCAATTTCGCTTTGGATTCGCTTTGGCTGGCTCGCTTGGGGAGGAGGGCCCTGTGAGAGGGGGGGGGGGCGGCGACGGGCCCAGGGAAAGGGGGGTCAAACGCGACGGCGACGATGACGACGACGACGACGACGACGACGACGACGGCGGCGTCGAGCCAAACAGAACAGCGCCTTCCACGCGCCGGCAGGGTCGGCGGATTTCTGGGGCGCGACCCCCGTGGACACGCGGTCGCACGGATGCGTTCCGCGCGGGGCATCCGCGAAGCAGCGCCCCGTGTCCTCGGGGGGCGCGGCCCCGGGGGCCTGGCCCGCGAGGCCGCCGATACGGGTATGCTTCCGTTCGCGAAGATGTGCGATCTGGATTTCTGGGGCACGATCCCTTGGATACGTGGTCGCATGGATACGTTTCGCGCGGGCCATCCGCGAAACGACGTTCCGTGTCCGGGGGGCGCGGCCCAGGGGCCATGCCCGTGAGGCCGCCGACACGGATATGCTTTCGTTTACGAAGATGTGCGAGAGGCACCGTCAGGACGCTGAAGTAAAGACCACTTTGAGCTCAGGAGTGGCCCCGGTCTCCAGGCCGTTCCGGGCCGATCTGCCAGGACGACTGCACACCGTGTGCCCGAACGGTGTTTGAGAGTGGCCTCGGGCCAGAGGTCTCCGCTTGTGCCACGCTGGAGCTCAACATCTTGAGCCAAAATGGCTACACAGGAGGATGAGGAGGGTAAGGAGCAGGTTCAGGGAGGAAGGAGGAGAAGGGTCGGAGAATGGAGGAAGGACGGCCGAGGGATGAGGGTGGATGAGGATGGCGAGGACTGATGAGTCATGGACGGAGGGAGAGGATGGAGGAGGGTGGAACGGCGGAGGGAGAGCCTGCAGGCGGCGGGCGTGGCGGCGCCGCCGACTGACCCTTCCCTGCTACTGGGGCGTGCGGCGATGGGGTCGCCCGAGCTGGAAACGCTGCAGGTGATCTGAAGCACTGGCCCGGTGGTCGCTCTGGGAGGATCGAGGAACACCAAGGAGAAATAGAGAGAGAGAGAGAGAGAGGTTAGAGGAGGATCGAGGAGGCTCGGCATTTGTTTTTTGGGGCCCTCTCTGGGCCTCTGGGATGCGTTGCGTCTCGTGTCCACGGATGGATTCCCTTCGGAGTGCTGGTCAAGTCGCACTGCAGGACAGTTCCCTGGGTCGGAGTTTGCTCCCAGAACTGGGGATCACGATGGAGAGGAGAGGTCCTGAAGGAATGGGGTCTTGAGGCTTTCGCCGTTCCCGCCCCCCCAGGGCCTCTCTGAGGCCCCAGGACCTCAGGACCGTCAGACGACGGCCCTTGATGAGCAGCCTATCCTGGGGAGCGCCTGGGGGTCCAGGAGCCGTATCGCTCAGGGCCCCCCCCTCGTGCATGGAGCCTCGAGGATCGAGTCCCCAGGCTGGCGAGCGGCAATCGCATCCACACCCGCGCCCTCGCGATCTGGATTTCTGGGGCGCGATCCCTTGGATACGCAGTCGCATGGATACGTTTCGCGCTTTCCATCCGCGAAACGATGTTCCGTGTCCGGGGGGCGCCGCCCAGGGGCCATGCCCGTGAGGCCGCCGACACGGAGACGCTTTCGCCCACGAGTGGCGTCTCTTCACGCTAAAGTGAGCTGGGCGTTGCAAGTGAGTGGGAACGAGGTGCATCCGCGGCCGCTTGGCTCAAAGCGGCCGGCCGCCCAGATCTGACTACACCTCAGCGCGAGGTGTACCATGTGGCATCGATACCAAAACTGCTTGAGATGGCTCGCCCCCTACTACTGGGACTATCACTACTACGGTACAACAGAGCGGGAGTTGGGCTTCGCCTAAGGCGAAGCTGCTGGTTGGGCCTCCCATCCCCTTTCAAGCTTGGTAGCGGAGCCGGCATATGGTGGTCAGCTCTAGCTCTACTCCTCACCATCCACGGCATTATCTGGTGGACTACTGACGTGGTGGAACATCAGGATGCAGTGGGTTTGCGCGGAGAAGTGTATACAGTTACGCAGCATAGCGAGGACACTTGCATTGACACCTCTGCCTACGCGGAGGCCTTTCACTTGCGTCCTACATCCCTGCGCTAGTACACTCCTGAAGTCCACCCACATACTCCAATTGGAAACTTCTTCGAAAACATAATGCATGGAAACATGCGATACGACATTGTGCCGCCTCCACCCCCACGCAGGCCTACGACCACATATCGAAAACCCCAACCGACTACATCCGATCACGACCTGCGAGGCCATTGGATTGGTATTACTATCTTTGGGCTCACATGGGTCGCTATCGGGTGTGCGGTAGGACATATGCGTGGCGGAGACGACATAAGAACGACCGGCCCCCATGGGGACCCGTCCTGTAAAGTACCTATCCGCGAATTCGCCCGCGAGGTACATGCCTGGATGAACGTGACCACAGGCAACATGACGCCCTCCCAACAAGCTGCAGGCTTGCAGCGAGGCTTGGGAGGCCTCGCGCGGACCATGGGCATGAGAGTTCCCCTAGCTGTTATTCAGTTTGGTGTTAAGATAGGTGGCCGCCATGCCGACGGCGTCACCTACATCATGCTCCTCTTAAGCACGAAGTTGGACAATCTAGAAGAGGAGCACCAACTCAACTCTGGTACAGCTTTCGTTGACTTCCGAGTCCATGCGGGAGAACGGATCGACCAGACTTTGGCGCGCTTCGAGATAGCCCGCTATGAGGCGGAAGCGGCAGGCTTCAACATCCCCAACTTCCAATTTCTAGCAGTTATTTTATTCAGAGCCCTTGGAGTGGCGACATCGCGTGCACAGCAAATCCTGCAGCCACTAAATCACCAAATGCCGAGGGACCAGCAACAGTTTGACTCTTTACTTCAACGCATGAGGTCATACTCACGCATTGCTTAGAGAACCCCAGGCAATATTAGTGATATTTTCAGTGACGGTCACCGAACCGAGACCTTCCACGTTAAGGCAAACGCAGGGCAGCTTGCTAATTACGTCTGGAATGACGATCCGCAACCAACTGAGACCACTGCACTACTGGCTCAGAGTGGCGGACCAGCTTCGGGGTCGCAAGACTCCTGGGCCAGGTTTCGGGGGCCGCCCGGCGCGGTATTCCCTGCGCAAGCCACGGCCCTAGTGGGCTTCTCAGCGGGGCAACCTTCTGAGTCCAACTTCGACTCCGGTACTGACGCCCACGCGTCTTCGGACGACGAGGTTGCTGCCCTTGACTACTCCAATATGCCTATGTACCTCGCGGAGGAGCAACAGGCGCAATGGTTATTCTTATTCTTAGGATGCCAGAAACAAAAACGCAGCTGGAGGCGATCTATGAGAAAGAGCGTGTTCTACCGCTTCTGGCGGAAAACCGGGGGGGGTCACTGCCGGTTCGAACCCCCCCCCCCCTCCCCTCCGGAAAACCGGGGGGGGTCACTGCCGGTTTGAACCCTTCCCCCCCCCCCCAGTTCATTATGAAAAGGGGGGGGGTCACTACCGGTTCGACCCCCCCCCCCCCCCCCTCGAAAACCGAGTGGGTGTGCGGACAGTCGTGGGGGCGGTGTTGGTGGGGGCAGTGGTAAGGGGGCAGCGGGACAGTGGTGGGGACATTGGGGCAGTGGGACAGTGGTGGGGACGGTAGTGGTGGGGACAGTGGTGGGGGCAATGGTGGGCACAGGGGGGACAGTGGACAGTGGTGGGGGCGGTGGTGGTGGGGGCAGTGGTGTGGGGACAGTGGGAATGAGGTGGAAACAGTGGGACAGTGGAGGGTACAATGGTGGTGGGGACAGTGGTAAAGGCGGTGGCGAGGACGGCGGTGGGACAGTGGTGGGAACAGTTGGATTGTCAGTGGGACAGCGGAGGAGTCAGTGGGACAGTGGGGGCAGTGTGGATAGGCAGTGGTTGGGTCCGTGGAGACGGCGGGGAGAGTGGAACCGTGGTGGGAACAGTGGTGGGAACAGTGGGGACAGTGCGACAGTAGTGGGGGCACTGGTGGGGACAAAAGGGACGGTAGTGGAACCAGTGGGGGCAGTGGTGGTGAGGGCAGTGGTGCTGGGAACAACAGTGGGGGATGTGATGCGAGCGGTGGTAGGGGCCGGGAGTCGTTTGCTGGCGGTGCGTTGGGGGGGGGGTCGAACCGGTAGTGGCCCCCTTCCGGTTTTCGGGGGGGGGGGGGGGTTCCAACCGGTAGTGGCCCCCTTTGGTTTTCCGGATCCGGAGGGGGGGGGGGTCGAACCGGTAGTGACCCCCCCTCGGTTTTCGAGGGGGAGGGGGGGGGGGGGGGGGGGGGGGGGGGGGAGGGGGGGGGGGGGGGTTTTAGCGGGGGGGGGGATTTTCGGAGGGGGGGGGGGGGACCACCGGGTTCCGGAGGAAAAGGTTGGCAATTTTCCACAGTAACGCGGCGGTGGATCACGCTCTCTCATATATGAAGAAGCCAGTTCGTAAAGTACGGCGTATCGTTTGACGGGCACTCAAGGGGACAGGCAAGGGTCGAGGTAAGGGTAAATGTAGGCGTCGCCGATTGCATGGCAGAGGCATGTTAGCTTTCCTAGCACCCCATCACCGGGCACAGTATGAAGAGATATTCTTAGGTGCAGGCAGGAAGCGTAGACATACATCGGGAAAAGGTAAGGGGCGTCGGGGAAACGCGAAGGATGCCACCTGCAAAACTATGGAGTGCGACATATGCCATAGCACGCAGCACTTTTGCCGCGAATGCCCTAAGGGCGATGGGAGAGGCAGAGGCCCGTCGATGCATCTGTCTCAAGCTGACTCGGATATACAGTCTGTTGACTGGGAGTCACTTTTGGCCGACCCTGCCGATAGTCCAGATGTAGCTGTTAACTACATGGCTGCCAGATATTTGAGTGCCAGTATGTCCCTCGAGAATTGCGCCGACGGGCTGTTCGAGGAGGTATTCACTGGCCACAATGATATTGATCTGGCAGACTGGCTGGGCATGCCGATTGCTGGGCAACCTGCTGATATTCAATTCGTCGAGAATTTCCACATGCCCGCCGAAGGAGATGACGGAATGGGGGGGGGGCGCCCGCGGATTCAGAAGCCATTGTTCCTGCGACAGAGGAGGAAATACAGTTGATGCTTTATCCTCGGGTTATTGGCGATCCGACAAACATAGAATTGAGCAGTGACGACCCTTTGCAGGGGAACCCGCGAGATGCGAGCGATCTGTCTGGGCGCATTCAGTATGGGCTAGGCCGCAACGAAGGATTTCAATATACATTCGTAGGTTCGGACCGCTGCATGAGCCGCCCGGAGCGGTCGGCAAGCCGCGATTCCTGGAGACGCAAGTATCGCGCCGACGACGATGACGAATAATGGGAAGATGACGCTCGTCTGGTACGTCGCGGTCGGGTCCGCGGTGGCCCACCCGACCGTGCGCGTGCGCGCTCCAGTGGCGCCCGCTCTGGCGGCCTTCAGCGCCCTCGTTCTCCTGGTGCGGGGAAGCCAAAGACCCCTTCCATGGAAGGTCAGTAGACCTGGCGCTCTCCCAGGGGGGGGGCGTCTGCGGGGGCACCCGCCTCAAGGGGAACAGCCTCATGAAGAATATCCAGAAGACGAAATGCAGCGCCTTGTTGGCTACTCGGATGCTGGACTGGCTCGTGAGTGTATATGCCCAGATACAGTGCAACAATGGTTGGACAAGGATTCGTCGCTGGTATTCTCTTCGCAAGGTTGATCGAGATGAAAGAGGCAAGATCGTTCGCTCAGAAAGGACAGGGGCTGTCAAACAGAAGACAAACGTAGAAAGCGCGACCTCAAGAGAGCCACCACCGAGGAACGGAAACTTTACAGGGGCGTTGCCTGCACGTGCTTCGAGCATGCCGACCGCAGGCTCGGCTGCCCCATGAGATGCCCATCAAGGAGCCCGAACTTCCGCAAGACACCGTGGGTCTGGTCTCACGGTGATTGTCGGGGTTGCTGCACCGATCTAAATGCAACACCATGCAACGAGCAGTTGACGGAAGACGACCTACGAACAAGCTACAGCTCAACATATATCCCAATCCATGAAG